GTGCGAGGTGAGGGGGGACGGGGGCGGCTGTGGGGCTGTGCGGCCGTGAAGGGGCTGAGGGATGTTTCTCCCCTGTCTGGGGAGCAGGCGGGGACCAGGGCGGCTCGGTGAGGGAGGCCGCTCTGCAGGCAGTGCCCGCGGCCGGCTGAGGGGCTGCTCTGATCTCTGGGGCCGACCGCCTCCGGGGAGAGTATCACCCAGGTGTAAGAGCAAACAGGGTGAGCCATAGGTATGGCCGTGTTGGCTGGGCTCGGTGCCCCGCGGAGCGGTGACTCCCAGAGCTTCCTAGAAGCACTTCTGGCACCGATATCCCCAGCGGCTTCTCCTGGTTGATACGTGTAAGCAGCCCTCCCAAGCGGCAAGTCCTGTTGGTCTCAGCCGTCCCGCGTTTACCAGTTCGTCTTCTGTAATTTTATCGAGTTTTAATTACCTGTGATGTTTGCAACTAGTCTCTTACAAACGTTCGAGTGAGAGCAGCGCTTTAAAATGCGAGCTAAGAACGGTTAGCTGACAGTCGGTCATTTCACAAGGTTCAGGTTGTGCAAGTATCTATCAGTCTAATTTCAGTTTTAAAAAGCACTGCTTTCCTTGTCCCAGCTCGTTTTGATAGCTTGCGCGTTTGGAGAATAAATAACTGAACTAGAAGTTAGCACATCTCTCAAATGTTATTGTGTGAATCAAAGCAGGTAGGCTTGCATAGCAGCAGCAGGAGATTTATGTACTCTGAGTGTTAATGAGAAGGTTACTGCCTTTGCACATCATTATTAATCCTACTTTTAAAGGGATGCTCCTACAGTACTATCTGTGCACTTCTAGAGACTTTGTAAGGTCTTTATTGATGGAATGTTTTGGTAAATCATCTTTCATTATCATTTTACTTATTCTTAAAATTTGATTATGTTACTTAGTTAATGTTTTGACTAACCTATGTGAAATAATTTCATGTCAGATTCACCCTTAAGTAAAAAATAAGTCACCCTATTTACCTATGGGGTAGTATGTGCCATCCCCTTGAAATGTGAAGCTATGCCAAATGATGCTCATACGTATAGGAGAGCTTTATGTATTACAGAGTGATCAATATTACTTCATAAAAGTGAAAGTAATGTAGCTACTCAGTTGTGTGGGTTTAGGAAACTGGGTTTTTGCAGTCACATCAGTAAAACTATTTCATGCTGTATTGTTTTATCTGCAGTGAGTTAGCAATTTTTCAAATACAATGGGAATACATAATACTGTTAACATTTATGTTTTGCAAGTATTTTGGAGAATTAGGAACCTTATATACATTAAGAAACTATTGATTGCACATACATTTACAAATGTGTGCATGCTCACATTGCAGGACTGGGACTGGAGCTTTCTCTACCTTTGCAAGAAACTGCAAACTTTCTGTCAAAGGAAGATAGTTACTAAATATTTTTGCGCAGTTCTGATTCATGCATGAAATGGATATTTATAAGCCTCTCCATTTATCTCCCTCAGTACTGCTTGCAGTATTTTCTATTTAAATGTGGGGTTTTGAGCAATAACTTAATCTTGTTTAATTTGTGTGTGTTTCAATTTTATTTTATAGGAGATTTGCATGACTCTGCATTACCTTTGTTGAACTCACCTAGGTAAAGTAGTATTGGCCAGTTCCCGTATATGAATAACCACACTGTACAAAAAGTGCAAACAAAGCCTAGTATAACTTTGTAGAATAATTTAAAGTTTTTTCTGTCAATGTTTTTCTGCACAAGATTGTTGCCTTTCTCTCCTAACTTCCTTACAGGTTAAAAAAAAAAGTCCTTTTAATAAAAGTGTTCTTCTGAGGCATCAGATTCCTCTTGGAATGCTCCCATGCAGTAAATTCTCATTTGTCCACTAACTCTGCAGCTGGACTCTAGAATTTATCTGAAGAGATACTCCACAAGGAACTTCAATTCTGTGAGGAAGTCCTAACCTAAAACAAAAACCCCTCTTCCAAATATAAACAGTTTCTGCCACAACTCAGAATAATATTATCTAATGAAAAAATATTTGGCAAGTTAGCGTGGTGTGTCTTAAAGCCAGTATAACATCTTCCCTTTCTCAGCTGCTTCCTGTTCTTCTTTAGCCCTTTCCTCTGCCACTCCCCAACCCCACATTTCAGTCATGAAGTCCTTCCCCCACTTTTAACCCACTTTTAAAACTATTCTGTTCCTTTCTCTTGTTTACCAAAAGTAAAAATCAATAACAGTTACAACACCCTCATGCTATAACTGCCTTTTGGGAAAGAATGAAGTAAAGTAAATCCAAGTTTGCTGCTACTTCATGTAAGAATTTAATTCTTTAATATTATATTGGTATATTGGTATTTATGCCAGAATTCCTCAAAGCTTTAATATAATAGTCATGCACAGTTACTTATTCAAGCTAAATTTACTGGTGCATCCACTGATAAATGTGATGAAATAGGTTAGGGAGCTTTTAGATGTAGGCGGTGCTATACTTTATTGGACTCGTGGATCCAAAGAATTGACTGTTCTTTCCTTTCTTGTGAGCAGCAAAGAAAAATGCTGGTAACTTCCTTCCCGGAAGGTAGCATCATCTGCTCCATTTGTAAAGTCTGCTTCTGGTAGTAAGAAGGATAGTTGAAGCCCATAGTCTTAGAAGCTACCGAAACCTTTATTATAACACTGGCTTTATGTATCTCTAGTTTGCTGTCAAATGTGTTCTTTTAGAGCTGAAGTTACATGCAACAGCTATAATTCCACTAACTTCGTGTTCTTTGTTTTTAAATATGCCACATTGTTACCTTTAATAAATCTTTGACTTGTAATGAATTGATGTGTACAGCTAGAAGTAGTATGAAGACCTTTGTATGACTTCACATGCTTAATCTGATTTTTGTGATTTCATTTTATCAAACAGCTGGTACATCTATTTCAAAATAATCTAATGCATAAATATTCATTTAGTGTTGAAGGCGATGCTATCAAAGTTTATGTAAGGGTACGTCCCCCTTCAGAGGGAACTGTGTTAACTGATGGAGATCAAGGCTTGTGTTTATCTGTTCTTTCATCAAATACCATCCGTCTGCATTCGAAGCCTGAGCCGAAGATCTTCACTTTTGATTATGTTGCAAATATGGAAACAACACAGGTAATGACTTCTAGAATCTCATAACGATATTGCAGTTTTTCCCCAAATTTTGGCAACTGCTACACTAAACCTTTCTAAAGAAGTAATGCCTTAGGTCTTATTTTTTGCAGTGGTCAGATTGGCAATGTATAGTTATAGTACAGAAATGTTGCACTAAATTTTGCTGTCTAATAGTTTTAATGTATTTTTTAACAATTTATTTAATTAAAGTTCTATTTCTAAATGTTACACTAACACCATAGACGGAAAATAAACCCCCTTGTTGAGACAAACATAAAAATATCTGGCAGTCAGTAGCTGATATAAAAGATGTGATATGTATATTAGGAACTTATGAGTTTATATTCTACTAGTTATATTTCCTTCTTATACATTTGCCTTTTAAACAGATGCATTGTTCATCTGGGACAGGTAGTACTGGAAGGAAAATACTTCAATTTAATTTTTATAATATTGTGTTTGAAATTCTGAACATAATTTTATTTCCTCTAAGGCTTCAATTCCATTTAAATTCTGTTTAAAAAAATAAAACCCCCAAAATAACGCACCCATTGTAGGCTGTTATTTGTAGCTAGGCTCTTCTTGCAGGTCTGCAAGAAATACATGACAATAGATGGGGCTAACAGTTGTGCAGATTTGTTGAATATACCATTGTGCGGTGGCAAATGTTGAAAGTTAATGAGAGTTGATGAGTGTCATAGGCTGAAGGTTGACCTCCTGATGGTATAAACCACATAACGTAATCAAAAACACTGGACCAAAATTAATATATATTATATTTGAATGCCATTACTATGGTGCTGAGTTTTATTATTTTTCTTTCAGTTATCAACAAGGAATAAATTTTTTTTCAGAGGGAGTGATTTATGTCACAAAGACTTGGGATGTATTGTTTTGCTGTGAGAATTCCAGGGGTGATGATACATGTCTAACTTTAAGGAATGTGTCTATTTTATACATTATAAAGTTATGGCATAGGAAACACTGATGGAAGAGATACTTAAATGACTGGTGCCAAGTGCCTTCTCTTTTCCTTGTCCCCAGGAGTCAGTGTTCTCAAGCGTGGCCAAAAATATTGTTGAATCTTGCATGAATGGCTACAATGGAACCATCTTTGCATAGTAAGTCATTTAATGGTATTTCATAGCAATTGAAACGTTTGAGGAGATTGTGTTAATGAGTAGTTGTGGTTTTAAGTGCCAGAGCCTGCTTAATGTTAGAGTAAACTTTGAAAGTGCTTCCTTAGTGTAGCACAACATAGGGAATGTTGCTGCAATATTGAAGAGTACTACTTATTCCTCTTTTGGAGCAATCTATTTGTAGGTGTTATGCTTCTAATACTTAAGGCCAATAATGTAGATTGTAAACTCATTTCAATTTTACTATTGTTTGTCTAAAAACTGGACGTTTTATTTTACTGTTAAAGAGAAAGCTAGCTGTTTTCAGTATGTCCATAGTAAAATGGAATGAAAATCGCTTTAACTTGGTATTTGGCCAGTTTAACTATTTAGTGAGTCTTAGCTGCCTGTGGGAAAACTCGTGAATGATAATTTTAACTTTCAAGATGTTTTCAAGATAGAAATATATCCATGACTAGTAGCATGAATATCTTTATATTAACTCTATATTTTTTCATTTTGAAAACTGAATAAGCACTTTGGTCAAAAATGCTAACTTGAAGCACTGATCTCATCAAAACTTTACTGGGTTTTTGAGCCTAGCATAGCATTTGTAAAACTGTGAAGTGAAGTCTAGTTTGTTACAATATACAAATGTGGAAAAATGAAGTGAAATTGCCCTGAAGGTTCTCTAGCATGATTAATAACTATAGGTAAAAAAAAAAAGGATATATTCAACTTGTAAGTATTTCTCTTGTTTTGGGTTTATGTGCACTACTAAGTGACACAAAACCCAAAAGATTGACCCAAAAATTAGTTTAGTGTATATATTTGAAAGCCTTCATTTTAATGCTAAGCTCCAGTATTTCCCTTTCCAACAGAAATAAGGAAGATGGTGGGGGAGAGAAAAGGTGATTTGTCTAACAGAATTTCACGGTCAAATTCGCTGTTCTGTTTTTATGCCTTTTTAGCTGACTGATTTCTCAGCTTGCCTCTGTCTCTTTTTATCTTCAGTTTAGAAGAATTTTTTTTTCATTTTAAGCTGTGAGTTCTCCTTAGAAGATGCAGATTAATGAAAAATTCAGAGCCAGAATAAAGCTTTGTCTGACCTTCTGACCTTTTGTTTTGTTTTGTTAGTGGCCAAACTGGGTCAGGAAAAACATTTACTATGATGGGTAAGTGGATGAAAGTGTTTAATCTTTCAGTGGTTTCTTAATTTTTTTTGTCTTGAGTTGAGATGTTGTCTTGCTTAAACACCAGGGATGACTCAGATTTTTGTCTTCCTTCAGATAACTTTAAGGTTTAAGAGGTGGTGTAGTGCTCAGTGCAGTTGTTCTTGCTTTATATCAAAAGAGTGAAGTATAGGTGCTCTCCTCTGTCTTTTTGAATATGTAGATGATTTTTTTTCCTGTTTTTTAACAGGAGAGAAGCTTTTCAATTAAATCAAACACTTCTAGTAAATTTTCTCAAAAATGAGTATTCTACTGGTTTCCCTGTTTGGCTGATATCCCTTGCACGTGTATAAAAATATTCTAGTATGCAAGTGTCCTGGTTTCAGCTGGGATAGAGTTAATTTTCTTCCTAGTAGCAGGCATAGTGCTGTATTTTGGATTTAGTAGGAGAAGAATGCTGATAACACACTGATGTTTTTAGTTGTTGCTAAGTACTGCTTATGCTAGTCAAGGACTTTTCAGCTTCCCATGCTCTGCCAGGTGCACAAGAAACTGGGAGGGGGCACAGCCAGAATAGTTGATCCAAACTGACCAAAGGGCTATTCCATACCATATGACGTCATGCTCAGTATAGAAACTGGGGGGGGTTGGCTGGGGAGCAGCGATCGCTGCTTGGGAACTGTCTGGGTATCGGTCGGCAGGTGGTGAGCAATTGCATTGTGAATACATTGCTTTGTATATTATTATTGTTTTTATCATTATTATATTGTTATTATTATCATTACTATTTTACTTTATTTCAATTATTAAACTGTTCTTGTCTCAACCCACAGGTTTTCTCACTTTTAGTCTTCCAATTCTCTCCCCCATCCCATTGGGGGATGCATGGTGCTTAGTTGCTGACTGGGGTTTAACCACGACAGCAAGGGTCTTCCATATTAAAATATAGGGAAGTTTTCAAAATAACTGTTTCCTATCCAACTAGGAATTTAAGGCCTCTCTGTGTATGAAGGGATTCCCTTGTAATCTTGTTCTTCATACAGTAGTGATTTTAAATGCATTAATATTGTACTTGACGTTAGAAAGTTACTGAAGTAACCAAAACCAGTTTGGCCGACATGTTTTCAAGTAGAAATTGAGGCCAAATTTCAAATAGAAATTAACTAAACATGGGGACAAATCTACCCCATCTTTCTGGTTCTTCAAATCAGGGTAGCTGTATTGACATACCTGCGCATCTGTACATGTTTTCTATGGAAGTCCAAGTAATTTATACTATTTTAGACTTAGGTAGCCTATGGACAGGTGAAATAAACTTTCACAAGCATCATTTAGACTACATATAAATCTGATCATGGAATAGTATCTTAGATCTTGAAAGTTTTTTTGTTGCATGTCTTCTGTGGTTTTGCCATAAACTGACTAAAACCTGGTTGCTGAAGTCTTCTATAATGACATCTTGAAAAGATAACCATTATTCTTGAGAAGTACTAATTAATTTTTTTTTTAATTAAAAATCTCCTTAGGGCCATCTGATTCTGATAATTTCACTCACAGTCTGAGAGGTGTAATTCCACGGAGCTTTGAATACTTATTTTTTCTAATTGAACGTGAAAAAGAAAAGGTACATTTATTTTATACTTATTGCAGTGAAAGTAATGTCTCACATTAAAGATTAGCTAAGGCTGTTTGGTAAGCCCAGTATGTAGCAGTTAAGTTTCCAGGATTATTGCTGTCTTGCACCAAATTTATTAATGAGAAACACTTGTGTGTAGTACTCTATCAAATTATAGTATGCTTTCTTCAGACATAAGTGTGCTTATATTTTGAGTCTAAAAAATGCATCTAGGTTTCTGGGTGTCAGTTGTCATCTGGGCATCAGAAATGTAGAGTATGCAGAATATATATGCAAACTAGTAGCTTTAGATATGTAGAAAAAGATACTTGCTGCCATACAATACTGGACTTAATAAAACCAATCTATTTATAGTGTAAATTACTGTGTTTTTCAGGCTGGCAGTGGAAAGAGTTTTCTCTGCAAATGCTCATTTATTGAAATCTACAATGAACAGATATTTGACTTGCTAGATTCTGCTTCAGCTGGACTCTTTCTCAGAGAACACATCAAGAAGGGAGTCTTTGTTGATGGTGCTGTTGAACAGGTGTTGTCATCTGCTGCTGAAGCATACCAGGTATTTTTTGTCACTTTTTAATGTTTGGACTATTTATCTTGATGCTTATTTGATAAATATTCCTCTTTGATTAAAGCACATATTTTTTGCACAGTGTCTGTGACACCCTCTTCCCCTATCTTCATCCTTCAAAAACCAGTGTAAAAAGCTGTTTCTAGGCAATGCTTCCTGACTATATGTATAGTATATCCCACACATGTAAGAAATCATATTGTTGTGGAGTTTGGAATGTATGAATTGCAGTTACAATAATCTTTCCCTGATGCCTGCCCTACACATCTCTGAAATAGCAACAGAAAACTACATCTCCTGCTAATTAGGCAGAGCATGTATTCCAGAAATTGTCAGGTTTATTTCGCCATGAATAAGACACATGCACATAGTACTACTCTGACTTCAAGTATTTTTTTCCTTGTGTACTGCTAACATACACTGGTATTGGATATGTTATGCTTTCAAATGGCAATGGCACTTTTGGAAGAAAGAACTGAATATTATAATTAGTATTTTTATTAAGCTGGACTGTAGCTATGTTTTTTCACTTCTAAAATACTTCTACTGGAAAAAAGTAAAAAAAGTCCTTGTCCTTGGGATTTTTGAAAGCTGTTAAACTGAAATATGCTTACTACTATTTATACCGCCTGTACATAAATACTGGATACAGTCTGAGATACTTGATATTATTTGATTACTTTTTCATGCTTAGGTATTAACTATGGGCTGGAGAAACCGTCGTGTAGCATCAACCTCGATGAACAGAGAATCCTCAAGATCACATGCAGTTTTCACTATCACAGTGGAATCCATGGAGAAAAACAATGAGATTGTTAACATTCGGTCTTCCCTGCTCAACCTGGTAGACTTGGCAGGATCTGAGAGACAGAAAGACACCCATACAGAAGGACTGAGGTTGAAGGTTAGTTCTGCAATATCTGTGCTATCTTTCTCCTTTCAGATGTACTGCCCTGTTCTATCAACAGAATCTGTTCACCTTTGATTTTTTTGTTTGTTTTTTTTTTAGGAAGCAGGTAACATAAATCGATCATTAAGTTGCCTGGGCCAAGTAATCACAGCACTTGTTGATGTGGGTAATGGAAAACAGAGACACATTTGTTACCGGGATTCCAAGCTCACTTTTCTGTTACGGGTAATATATATCCTCTGGATTTCATATGCTACTTGGTGTGTAGAAGAAATATTTGTGTGGGTTGGGGTGGGTTTTTTGGTTTGGTTTTTTTTTTTTTTTACTCTAAAAAGCTGAACTCGTGTACATTAAAAATTTGTTTCGATATTGGGCAGCTGGAAGAAAGCTTGAAAAATATCGTTTTACCTAAACAGACTTATAGTGGATTTATTGCTGCTAACCGAAGACAAGAAATTTACTTATGCTCATAATCTCCTTTTACGTATTTGCAAGTTTTAAAGTAAAAGAAGCATATGTTTTCATCCCTGTAATTTGGGAAATACTGTGTATCACAATGTAATATTTAGAGATGTGTTGAAACGTTTGACAGGATTTCCAGAATTAGCCTATGTGTTGATATGTGTTAAGAATTAGCTAAATTTACAGTTTCCTAACTGAGAGCTTATGGGGTTTTTCAAGATGAAGCGAAAACAAAGATGGAAGCAGTCAAAGATTTGTTGTATGTACTCGCTGAAATTCTGTGAGCAGTAATGAATAATATCTGTAATATATTTTTGTATTATAATATAGTACTTGTACATAATATAGTATTTGTGTTACAACACAGTATTGGTGTGATCACAGCAAAATTTCCCAATCATTCCACCCCTGTTCTGCATATATCTTAGAATCATGAACCTATGAAGAATTATAAGATGGGTTGGAACAATCAACAGACTAGATAATGTTCAAATAGTGCGAATACCAATCTGCTAATGACCAAGATTGAAGTGAAATATAGAATCATAGAATTGTTTAGGTTGGAAAAGACCTTTAAGATCATCCCGTCCAACCATTAATCTAATATTACCAAGTCCACACTAAACCAATTAAGGGTAGACTAGACTAAACCATGTCCCGAAGTGCCACATCTACCTGTTTTTTGAACACCTCCAGGGATGGTGACTCCACCACCTCTCTGGGCAGCCTGTTCCAATTCTTGACCACCCTTTCCATAAAGAAATTTTTCCTAATTTCCAACCTAAACCTCCCCTGGCGCAGCTTGAGCCCATTTCCTCTCATCCTATTGCTAACTACTTAGAAGAAGAGACCAACACCCACCTCGCTACAACCTCCTTCTTGGTAGTTGTAGAGAGTGATAAGGTCTCCCCTGAGCCTCCTTTTCTGCAGGCTAAACAACCCCAGTTCCCTCAGCCGCTCCTCATAAGACCTGTGCTCCAGACCCTTCACCAGCTTCGTTGCCTTTCTCTGAACACGCTCCAGCACCTCAATGTCTTTCTTGTATTAAGACATATCTACTTTATTCCCTGATTTTTTTTTCCTCTGTTTTTTTTCCTCTCCCTGTTGTTCAGGTGTAACAAATATAGCAAATTGTTGATTAATAATATAGAATCATGGTTTTGAAAACCCAAATAAAGTCTTTATTTACACCTACATTTGAAATAAAATTTCAGAAACTTAAGTAGCATGGAGGCTTGTTAAATCCCTTCTGCAGTTTGTTCAAAGTGATACACAGTAGCTCTTAGCGGATGGCTTCCTGCTGTAGCCAGAAACACGCAAATAAAGCTAACTTCTATGTTTTTAAATAGGATTCCCTTGGTGGTAATGCAAAAACAAGTATAATTGCAAATGTTCATCCGGGATCCAGGTGTTTTGGTGAAACACTGTCCACCCTTAATTTTGCTCAGCGAGCAAAGTTGATTAAAAACAAGGTAAGAGAGTTTCTCAATGTCTTTATTGTTGCAACAAACAATTTCTTGTCATTTAAACTACCTATCTGCAAACAGGACAGTTTCACTGAAATACTCTTGTGCTTTCACTAATTTAAATGAATATCACTTATTTTAAAATCCTAAATCTGCTTTTCTAAATGTTTATGACATAATTTTTGAAAGGACTTGTTTGCTTTTAATTATGAATAGAGTGCAACAGCTGGGGACTAGGTAATGGCTGATAATAGTGTGTGTTCATTGCTTGTTCTCTGAGCACTTCATTGGAAAAAGTAAGTAAATCTGTACTAAAAATTAAAATTGTCATTAAAAAAAATAGATTCAATACCATTTCAGTGCATCTAGTTTTTATTTATGTTAATTCCCGAAACGTAATTTCTCAAGACTGGGTTTTGAAAGTATGTTGGCATCTGGCTGGAAACTACTGCCTTCAATGTATACTGCTTAGCTTTGGTCAAAAAGCTCCAGAGAAAATTCTGCAGAAAACTGTATTTTTAACCAATATTTTTAGCTAAAGTGCAGCTTACCGATTTCTCTGTAATTGAACATCGCTTTTCCCATGAGTTCTTCCTTTCCTAAGATGGAAAACTTCTCAGTAGTTTTGTTGCTTTTATCCTATAAAATGTAAGATTTTTTTATTTGTACCTCTTCCTAATTTTCTCTTAACGTATTTGTGAAAGGCTGTGGTAAATGAAGACACACAAGGAAATGTGAGCCAGCTGCAAGCTGAGGTCAAGAAGTTGAAAGAACAGCTTGCTCAACTTACTTCAGTGCCATCTACGCGTGATATTTCTGTATCACAAGGTAAGAATTGGGATTGAGGGAGAGATAACTTGCTGCTTTTCTAGCCTAGAGTGTTGGAGCCTTATGTAATTCATTAACTTTCTGAACAATTAATATTTTTGTAGGGACTGACCTACAGAGGTTACATTTGTCTTCTGGATCCCATTGCCTGTATGTGTATCTAATTTTTTGCAGAAATTGTTAATGTGATTTTATTTTCTCCTCTCATAACAGGGCTATGTTTCTGTTTTAGAATACCTAGAATACTCTTCCAGTTTCTAAGAGATATGCTGCCTGTTCCTTTAAGTAACCAAAAGTTTACATGTGATTGCTTGCACATTTAGGTTGGAGGGAGGACACTAAGGTGTTGTTAATGCCCATTGAATCCACATTCTTTTTAAGCTCAGGACTGGATTTTTTTCCCCCTCTTTCCTTTTTGCCTCTTCAGGAAGATCCTAAGAAGGACGTTTACCTTTCAATAAAAGATTGCTTTCAACGTAAGATGGTAATGGGGTTTTTATCAATATGTAATTTTTTTCTTCCAGTAGCTTTTCACTAGATCGCTGTATCTGCAATATAGACCCCAGCATAGCTTTCTACTGTGTATACCTCTCACTGAAATACGCTACCTTCTAATGTTTGATTACAAGGTAGTAAACTTGGTCTTGTAACTCTTACTGTCATCCTGAGTCAACTCTTTCCTGACATTGCCAAGAAATAGAAGATACAGCAATAGAAGTTACTACAGAAGCTAGAAAGACTTGTCATCTGTGGTTGAGTTTTCCTAAGTCAAAATTACTTCTCTGTGAGCATACACATTTAACCAGTAAGAACAAGTCAGTGATTATGTGGGACACTCAATCACTGTCTGTGAATACATGAATATTGACAGAGTGCTCGAAAATGTTGTTAGGCTTGTGATAGAGTTCTGAGGGAAAGGAAGTGATGATGCTTAAACACTGAAAAGAGGTTTTATGCAGAACCTAATGTATTAGAGCTGTATTTAGTCTATGCAGTTAAATCATGTTTGTAATGTTCGATCACACAAATATGAAATCTGCTTACTAGCTACTTTAAAAACATGATGGCATTTTTTAATATTAATTTAATATTAAATTACAATAGGGTAGTTATTATGCACCTAGCTACTATGGTGATTAGTATTCCATAAATAAGTAGTCTTGCCTGCATGAGGGATATTCGGGGAAGCTATTTTGAATTAATTTCTGAAGTGGATTAGTTACGTCCTTTTAATCCCTTGTGTGGACACTTTCCTTCCGGATTAAATCGCTAATTGTCCACTTAATTCGTGCTTATTTTCCTGAATTTCCTTCTCATAAACCAGTTAGACCCCTTTTAATATGTACAAACTGTAATAATGCAATATGTACAAACTGTAATAATAATGCCAATAATGGCTTAGTGTTATCAAATTAATTTCAGGGAGGTTTTGCGTTTTATAGATACACTCAGCTGAACAAACTTGATTCTTTTGTTCTAATAAAAGTTCATCATAAAGCCGTTTAATGCTTGAACAATTTTGTTAATTAAACAATTACGTATATTGACTCTGTTCTTTATCAGCCCTTGCAGGTGACTAAGAATTAGTCTAAACTTCTTTGCTCTGGGTATGGCACATGATCTTAGAGGAATTATATTGTTCAAAGAATTTATTTAAATTTTGTTTACACAACTGTCATGTTATGTGTGTAGGAAAACCTGGTTAACTGGTATTTTAATAAATATGGCTTTTGTTTCTTTGATTTACCCTACAGGTGCTGTTGAAAAAGGGAAGAACAACGTAAATTACATGAACAACTTTCTTGAAGCAATGTTGTTCTGGGAGAAATCAGAAGGTGAAAAGAAGGTAAGAAGGCACTAATATTTCTACGTGCATTCTGTGTACTCTCTGATGAGAGACCAGTGAGCATATTGAAACTGACTCTCTTTGTGATTTTTTTCTTTGTCTTCAAATAAAAATACACTGGCCAAAGATGATAACGTTTGGTAATAAGGGAACTAGTCAAATAATATTTAAGATAAAACCTTTCAAATTCAGACAAGCCATAGGATAGCTTCCATAGTATGTTTAGTTTTAGGGGTGGGTTGTTTATTTGGATTTTCCAATAAAAAATTTGAAAAGAACAACAAATTTCTGTTTTACTTAATTTTGAGAGCATCTTTGAGTGTTTAGATCAACATTGTGTTTTTTGAAGCAAGCCTCCCTGTCATCCCCATTTTATTGTGCTTTGGTTCATGTCATGGCACAGTGCTGAATCATCCAAAATGGGGGTTTTTTGGAAAAAAAAAAAAAAAATATTAACTGAAACAGGCACTCTAGGGGTGCATCTGTGCTTAACTGCATACTTAGTCTACAGGATCGTATTGGAGCTTCTAAATAAAGTTTTTGCAATATAGTGTGTAATTTGGCTTCTTGGTACGAGCTGTTGCTCTCTACAGGTGTGTTCCAAATGAATGATAGTCTGTTTATTCACAAAATTATTAACTGGGTTTTGCATGATTTGTGTGTATGTGATATGCACACCTTAAAAATTCATCTAGTGTAACTGTCGCTTTTCCACTGATCTGTATATGTACTTTCTAAGAATTTATTAGAAAAAATTGCTCAACTAGAAGATCTGTGTGCCAAGAAGGAGAAATTTATTCAGTCCAATAAAATGATAGTTAAATTCCGTGAAGACCATATTGTTCGCTTGGAGAGATTACATAAAGAGGCTGGTGGAAGTTTATTGCCAAAAGAGCAAGATGATCTCCTCAGTGAATTGAGGGAGGAATTGCAGACACTCAGAGAACAGGTAAGTCTTTGTTTTTTCCTTTCTAGAACAATTTTCTTTTGTGAGAATAGCTCATGTGATGCAGTTCTGTGATGGGTGGATACAAGCTTTTTAGGAAAGGCAAGCAGGAAAAAAGAGAATGGGTGGTGGGTTCCTTTACAGAGGCATCTCAAATGCATGGAGTTTCCCTATGGAAGGGGAAATGGGTGGGTTTAGAGCCTGTGAGGTTGCATAAGAGGAGAGGTGTGATGTCATGGTGGGAGCTTGCTACAGACCACCTGATCTGGGTTAGGTAGAGGACTAAGTCTCCTTTAAGCAACTCAAGGAAGTCTCCAAATCACAACTCCTCATTCTTATGGGAGACTTTATAACCACCATGACATCTGCTGAAAGGGAAACGCAGCAGGATGCAAGTAATACAGCAGGTTTCTGAAGGATAATAGCACAGATGCTAGATGGGCCAATCGGGGTGATGGTGTCAAGTAGCAAAGTACATACCTAAAGCTTCAGGAGAGGAGGCTTTGGGTTATTCTGGCTTTTGGTAGGTGTGGTATCACTTGTGAGGCAGTTTTGAAGAACAAAGAAGCTCAAGAGAGAAGGCAGATCTTTAAAGACAATTTCCTCCAAGCACAAGTAGGAAAAAGGAGTAGATCATAGAATAATAGAATTGTTTAGATTGGAAAAGACCGACCATTAACCTAACACTACCAAGTCCACCACTAAACCAGTTAAGGGGAGAGTAGTAATTAATTTCATGTTTCCTGGCTTGGTGGCTGGATTATTTTTTAATGAAAGTAAAAACTAGGAATCATTAAGGTTGGGAAGGACCTGTAAGATCATCAGTCCAACCATCAGCCCAACACCAGCATACTTACTAAACCATGTCCCAGAGTGCCATGTCTACCCGTTTTTAACACCTCCAGGGATGGGGACTCCACCACCTCTCTGGGCAGCCTGTTCCTGTGCTTGACCGCTCTTTCTGTGAAGTTTTTCCGAAGATCCTATGTAAACCTCCCCTGGCACAACTTGAGCCCATTTCTTCTTGTCCTATCGCTAGCTACTTGGGAGAAGAGACCAACACCCACCTCGCTACAACCTCCTTTCAGACAGGTCTTTCCTCAGCCTCCTCTTCTCCAGACCAAACAATCCCAGTTCCCTCAGCTGCTCCTTATAAGACTTGTGCTCTCCACCCTTCACCAGCTTCGTTGCCTTTCTCTGGACGTGCTCCAGCACCTCAATGTCCTTCTTGTATTGAGGGGCCCAAAACTGGACACAGTATTCCAGGTGCAGCCTCACCAGTGCTGAGTACAGGGGCACAATCACCTCCCTGCTCCTGCTGGCCACACTATTCCTGATACAAGCCAGGATGCTGTTGGCCTTCTTGGCCACCTGGGCACACTGCTGGCTCATGTTCAGCCAGCTGTCAACCAACACCCCCAGGTCCTTTTCAGCCAGGCAGCTTTCCAGGCACTCTTCCCCAAGCCTGTAGCGTTGCATGGGGTTGTTGTGACCCAAGTGCAGGACCCGACACTTGGCCTTGTTAAACCTTATACAATTGGCCTCGGCCCATTGATCCAGCCTGTCCAGGTCGCTCTGCAGGGCCATCCTACCCTCAAGCAGATCGACACTTCTGCCCAACTTGGTGTTATCTGCAAACTTACTGGAGGGCGCATTCAATCCCCCCATCCAGATTGTTGATAAAAGATATTAAACAAGACTGGCCCCAAAACAGAGCCCTGGGGAACACCGCTTGTGACTGGTTGCCAACTGGATTTAACTCCACTCACCACAACTCTCTGGGTTCGGCCATCCAGACAGTTTTAGACGTATGAGAAGACCAGCTTGAACCTGTAGCTCATAACTGAGCCTTAAAGTGAAGGGGGAAAAAAAGTACAGAAGTCAGGACAGTCCTTAAAAGACTATAGAAACGTTACTATGGCATGCAGGGACAGCATTAAGAAAGCCAAACCTTAAAGTTGAAACGAAAAGGGGTGTCGAACAGCAAGAAAAACTTCTACTGCTTTATTATCATTAAAACAATAAATACCTAAAATGTAAACCCACTGTCTTTTTTGAGAGCAGATTCCAGAGTAAGAAAACTAACAAACTAAAAATGGGGCAGTTTCAACCACTGCAGGGAATACCTTTTTTTCTTCTGTTACAGTTTAATGCTTATTAAAGGTAGTAGAGCAACAGCTAGGTATGTATAGCTTTGTCTGGAAAATAAAAACTGTTGAATAAAATATTGCTTATCACAGATGGAACAACACCCACGAATTGCAAAGTATGCCATGGAGAACCATAACCTCAGAGAGGAGAATAAAAGACTTCGTTCTTTACAGTCAGTTAAAAAGGCCCAAGAAATTGATGCTCAGACCATTGCAGAACTAGAAAAAGCTTTTTTGGAAGCTTCAGCCACAGAGAAAAATACTGGAGGTAAAAATATGCTAATGTTTTTCAGCTAAATAAGCTTACTGTATTTCTGTTGTGTGCAGCATAGTGTTGAAAATGTTGTCTGTCTGGATGTATTTTTGCCTTTTTCAAAGTGATACCTGAAGACAGATAAAAAGGGTTTACTTTGTTTTATTCACGTTGGCCTTCAAGCAATAGGGGATTTTGGTTCTTGTACATCTTGTGAACACTCTCTATAATCTCACTTTGTTGTCCTTAGTTGTCATGAACACTGCAGTAGTAATTATTGTACTGGTTTTCATGTGGACTGTTGCTAATACCCATTTTCTTCAGTCTCAATTGGTGCTATGCTATTCAAGAGCCTACAAATGGTTTTATTTTAGTAAAACTTAGGATATTTGAGCTACTCTGTGATTTCAGAGTGTACATGTTTGTTCTTTAGGTCATCATTTATATTCCACCACCGTATCAGTGGAAGGCAGCTCACTGGCATCTGTTGAAAGGCTGAAAGCTCGCCTGCTACAGACTCAGAGTGAACTGGCAAGTTCAAAACAAGAATATGAAGAATTTAAAGAGCTAACCAAGTGAGACAAAACAGTATAGAAATGTCTTTAATTAAATGTCTTTAAATAATTACTTATATTGAATTTTAAAAGTTAGTCTCAGATCCCGACTATACAGTCTAAGTACGTTCTTTGCATGTAAGAGAGGGCCAGGTTAAGAAAAATGGCATGCACACAGAATATGTTCCTGTTGAACTCAGTTACTCCCAAACTAGGAAACAACCATGATGCAATCTGAAGGCATGTCTGCTCTTGCGGATTTCTTTGTCTTTCCAAAAGCTCTTCTTTATGCTAAGATGCAAAACAGTGCTTCATAAGATGCAGGAGATGCACATACCCTGGAATTCTGATAGTCACCTGCTTAATGGGATAGGGAGAGTTTGGCTTAGTTTCTGTGTTGAGCAAGTATTTTTCAGTAACTGAAATATTACAGATGGAAGCGGTGATGGGAACTAAGAGTTGATGGGTCTGGGGGGCGGTATTTGGGGGGGTTTGTTTGTTCTAATGCAACAATAGTTTCTAATATAATGTCTTCAAGATTGCAAGTTTGAGTCACCATAAATGTAGAATCCAAGCACATCAGAAATTTTGGCTAACCTGTTGGTTAATTTTTTGTCTCCACTTCAAAGATTTTTAGAAGGCAATAGTATCACTATCTTGAGACTTGTTATTGGAAGAGATTTAATTCAAATTAGAGCAAAGACATGGTGTCAGTAGTTCATTCATGTCCATTTGCTTTGGCATCTAAACATGAGATGAGGGCCTACTTTGTCCTTACTAATGTAATAATTTACCCTCGTTTTTCTCCTTGAGGGCAGCACAAGGTAATGCAAAAGGCCTGAGTAAATACCTTCAGTGTGTACATGTGTGTAAATATATATATTCATATGCAAGTGAATAATACATGGCTTAACTTGACCAACTTCATTTCTGAAAAATTCAGGTCCTGTTACTGGAGATACAAGAAAAATAACTGCATTTCCAGCAAACATAATGTAAACCTGGAAGGCAAAAGGGACCTGCTTTTTTTGATTATATTTATTTTTAGTTAGTACCTAATGTTGTTGGTTTTTAATGATTTCAGTGGATCTAGAGTATAATTCTAGAAGCATTGGGCACAAGGTATTTCCATTTTTGCCTCCCCACTTTTTTTTTTTTTTTTTTTTTTGCAAAGTAGCTTTGTAATGTCCTTTTTGCTCATTCAGGCAACTGTGCAAATCTGTGTTTTTATTCTTAGACTTCTGTGTAGCAAATCCTATGAGCTTTATAAACACAATGTTATGATCTACTGAGTTTATCAGTTCAGCAATCCATCTATTGTTCTGTATCATTAGTTACAATGGTTTATTTATGTCTTCATATATTAATTACTTTATTTTCCTGCCCATTTGATGTATTCCTATTTTATGTATTCCATGTTTTGTGCATGTCTTGCTTTCTTGATAGTATATATGCATTTTTATTATCAACTACTAACATTTTCTTAGTGGAGTGCAGTCAAACAGAAGTGTGCTTTTGAGCCTCTGGATTCGCCTCTGGATTTCACTAAATTTTAAACTTGTTTCCAGTTTCAGAGTAATTAGATCCTTAATTTTACGTGCAAGTGTAACTATTTGCTGTAACTGAATAAGTAGGGTAAAACTTAAAAATTGCACAAAATCAATGTATGCCAATTTTTCTGTTGTCCGACAGCAGTCAAAACTGAAGCTCTATTCTGTTCCATAAGTTTTGTTGCAGACGCTAAAAACATGAGGGAAAGTGATAGCATTAAACTGCCAAAAGATGAAATAGTATATTTCCTTTCGTCTGTAGACTTTGACCCTACAATTATGTCACTAAGGCCAACTATCACAGTAACAGCATGTAGCTCTGCAAAATATCTAATGGAAATTATTCCCAAATTTCTGTTCAACTGTTGGATTTCAGTTAAAGTACTCTTAGAGGGCAAAATAATCTTAACAGAGCAGCACTTCCCACCCAAAAAAGAAAAAAAACTTTAAAGGATTTTCTTTAATCCTGGCAAGCACCAGTTCAGACTTCTCATATAACTGGATAACATTTTTAAAGCTTAAAACCATATTGGTATGGGTGATATAACTTTCTCATAAAAGGAATTGCAGAGCTCTTGGCTTATTTCTTACCGTGTAATGGATTTTTTCTGACACGTTTAGTTATCCATCTGCTTGCTTCATTATGCAAGCACAAATAAGCTTCTTAGCTTTTTAATATATATA